GTATATTTTTGAGGTACTTTAATTTATTTGAGTATCTCCATTTCATGCTACTTTACACTAACATACTTGCTGCGAACAAAAAGAAGCCAATCAATGTTTTTGCTTCCAGGAGAAGGTGAGTGTAGCTTTCTGGGCTTAGGTAATGTATTAATCAAACTTATATAATTAAGGAGAAAGCGGAGGCTTAATTTAAAAAAGTAAAGAATAAAACAAACTAGGAGACTCCTACTGACATGGAAGTGTTGGTGACATTCAAGAGCAGCTCTTGGGTGGTCAAATCATTAATTACACAGATGATCAGAGCAGGAACAGCCAATCAGAGACATGGGCTGTGTCCAAAAAGTCTTTTTTGCTCAGGAAGGTTCCTAACTGAGTGACCCAGAAGTATTTCAGTGGCAGCCATGAAAAGAGCTGGTCGAATTCTCTAAATAATAAGGAAAGGAGCCTCACGGCTTACTTTTATATCTCCTTTAGCATAGGGTACACAAAAGGAAAGGAGAGAATGCCGTCCCACAATTCCTTGCGGCGGCAACATTTAAAGCGACGCACGTTCTCAAACTCAAATGATAAAATCCAGTGACCACATTTAGCAAGACCCTTGCAACACAGACGCACATTATGACACTTGAATGAGACTCTCACAATTTCCTTCTTTCTTTTGGCTTTTTGCTGTAATCTGATAGCCCTACTGTTTCAACACCGTTTTATGTTTCGGATTGTTAAAATATGCTATAAAGTGTTTTCTACAATAATAAAAAAGAAAGAGAAATCACTCACCATGACGGAGGTTGATGAAGTCACCACTGGCTATTAAGCCTTTTCTCTCTTATGCCATAACTCCCTAATATACATATATCATTAAACTGTCAACAATAACTGAGACCCATGGGAGCTGTGTTACTACTCTTGTAACGTGATCAAAGTGAGGATAATGTTGCAGCGTGTAAGCTCACGTTGTGTATTGCCAACCTTCAGCAATGTCATTAATTGATCTGACTTCAGTCACAGATGCTGACACCCTCGCCTTGATAAAGGCAACAATCAAGCTGGATAAACTCTACAGTAGACATTTCCCACGCAAGTGAAAACACTTTTCAATTCAATTATAGACTACAGAGGGGCTCCATCTAAGACACTGTCCCGTTAATTAATTAAGATTCCTCTCTAAAATCACAGCTCGACTGCAGGGCTCGCTGTCTGAACGTCATGCTGTTGAGGTCAGAACTTCATTGCAGCCGCAGTGGAACAAATCAGGATGAAATCTAAACATATTTTATAAAGCGTTGTGAATTAATCCTTCTCATCATCAACACTGAGTACAGATGTGGTGTGTAGTCCACGTGCAGGGTGACCTCGAGTTAACCACCAACAAAACCTGCTCGGTGAAGTTTAGAGATGCAGCGTAAATTGCCATGGCAACAGACCTTTGGTAGTACGGGTTAATCAGGAAGTTACACCCGACGTGAAGTGGATTGAGCAGTTGTTCAAATGACACCATCTGAGACGTTGAGAGGGGAAATATTTCTTACACTATTTTAGTATAAAGTAACATTAGATGGAAATACTTGAGTAAAATAAAAGTAACTTTAAAATTGTACTTAATGTTCCGAGGCAATCGTATGTAGTTTCTTACCACTACATGTGTTACAATCATTTAAAAACCGGTCTGTTTCTGTTGTGCAGCCACCTGACATCGACTCCAACTTCACACACCTCCTCCACCCACCAGCTCAGATGTAAAGATAAACACCAGAAACTCATCAGCAGCAGAATTCTTTCCTGTCAGGGCTGATTCCTGTTATCTTAACAGGGTTACTGCCAGTAAAAAACTGTGTTTACAATAGACCAACGTGGGTCACAGTAGTTTCTTCAGCAACTGGGACAGCTGACCGCATTAACTCAGATGACTGGTTCACTTGTTGGGCTAATTGTTAAATTTGATCATAAGTTGTTACTGAATAAATTGAATTGTTGAACTTGTTATCATACTTAGGGACAACACTGAAGAAAAAGATGGTTTCCACCAAATAGATCTTGAGTTTTTGCTCTTTGACCGTCAGAAAGGAGCATAAACCTGACGAAACCACCTTCAGTTGTTTCAGGGATTTCATGAACTGAAGGAGAAGCTTTTCATACAGCTGTGAATCATTAGTACAGACTGACTGTCCTGCTTTATGTGCTGATTTTGGTTGGAGAGTGTTTAATTGAAACAAATGATTGTATTTTATCATCAATCTGTTGTTGCAGCACATCTGCAGCATTAGAATGACTTTGCTCAGGACGAACTGAAGTTGAATGTAGAGCATGAAAAAGTGATTCTATGGTACGCTCTACTGAGTAAAAACAGAACATCACATTAACTAGCTGGTTAACAGAACATTAATTATAGTTTATCTACTACATATTACAGAACAAATGGTCTGTGCATAGAAAGTGTCCGTTTTCTTTTGAACCAAAAAAACGAATATATGTTGTTGTTTTTTTTCCATTGAAGAAAGACATTAAGACTCCAAGAGGATAAATCTATTCTATAACATTATGCAAGCACTAATCTGAAAGAAAAATATGAATAAATAAACAAACCTGGACCGATGGAAGTATGTTAGCAACTTTATTAATTTAGTGAGGCGTTTGAGGTACTGGTGTGCATGTATATCGATGTGATCCATCCCTTATAGGTAGATCCCTCCACAAATCCCACGAGAACTGTCACGCGTGCACATGGCACCACCACATATACGAACATCAGTTCCTACATTTGGAGGATTAAATGTTAAATGAAGGAAATCTGGATTGGAGGTGTTGAAAGAAACTCTATATAAATGTTGCACAAAATATATGATGTTTGCATTATTTTGAATCAAACATTTATCAACAATAATTTAGCCCCATTTTAGAGCAGCAGAACAACGGATACCAAACTTTTTCACTGTTGTTGAGGTTTCGGGCACCGTAAGTTAAAAGCTGTTTTCAGTGTTGTCAAACATGGTGTGGTGGAAATCGTGTAAATATTTCCTTGGATAAATGAACAAAGTTACAACAAACATTTGTCTTTGTTAATTTTATTTAAAGTAAGAAAAAAGAAAAAATTTGGTCAGCTGAAGGACAGAGCTCAAAGACCATTAGAGAGTCTGACAGAGAAACAGAAAACTAAAACATTCAAAGCTACAAAATAATAGTGTAGTCTGTGAGAAAAGCCTTGAGCCACAGGAACAGAAAATGCATACGACAAAGCATGATGACATTTACAGGATTATAAGTACATAAAAAGGTAAAATACATTTTCTAATACACATGATTGTTTAGCTGTCTGGGGGCTTAACTCCGCATAAATAAATCTATTTTATAAAACCATACCTACTTTGCATGTGCAACAGTTTGAACCTCACCACCTGCTTCAACCGGCCACATTATATCAATGGTACACTCTACATTGTTTAAATCCTGCATTGAGAGTCCCACTTTGCCCCTTGTTAATATATACCCCAAATAAATCAGTAATATCTCCTCAACCATTAGGCCTAGATGCATAATTCATGTCTCCTTTGAAAGTATTTAAAACCTCTCTGAACAAAATCTTCTGACTGTCCTCTGCCAAAATCCACAGTGGAGTTTAAATGCATCACTAAATTAAACTGGATGCTCACTAACTAGTTCTTACATACAGTTCACTAACTGCCAGGTGAATGTGTTGTAGATAACTGAAACTGAAACAGCTGACAAAGCTAAAAGTAGAGATTCAAGATGGCGCTGCAGACGGCGGCCTCTGGATTACGCTCCGTAGTGCTTTTTATATTTTTGTTTATATATTTTGTTTTCTGCCGTCCCTCTCTGGTAACATTTACTAGAGAACAGCTCTTAAATATTGGACTTTCAACTGCTCATACTATTCCACTGCTCCTTAATGAACCCCAAACGTTCCCTGAGTTATTAGTTGGAGGAGCAGCAGCTCTGTTTGGGATCCTTCAGAAACGACGAAGGGGAAAACGAGCAGGTGCGCTGGTTAAACTGAGACAGTGGGGTTTTCGCACTGTGCTCCCTTCAATCCACCTGGTGAATGTCCACTCTATGGCCAACAAAATGGATGAACTGCTTCTCTTCAACAGTAATAACTTGGACTTCTGTAGATCTGCTGCCCTCTGTTTCACAGAATCCTGTCTCACCAAGTGCATCCCAGACAGCGCACTTCACCTATCTCATCCGCACGGATCTCGAAAGGGAGCTCACGGGAAAAACACGGGGAGGCGGACTCTTTTTCTACATAAATGAAATGAAATCATGCAGCCCTCACTTAGAGACATTATACATAAACTTTAAGCCTTTTTATTCACCACGGGAGTTTTCCTCGTTTGTCCTGGTCGCTGTTTACATTCCACCTCAGTCCTGTGTTAGTGAGGCGTTGCTACACCTGGCCGACCAGATAACTAACGTGGAGAAAAAACATCCAGACTCCCTGCTCATTGTTCTTGGGGACTTTTACAAAGCAAACCTCAGAGCACGAACTCCCAAAGCTGGTCAGAACAACCTGGAGCTTAACACGCTCAAAACTGTGGAGATGACCGTGGACTTCAGGAGGAGCCCCCCCACTCTGCCCCCCATCACCATACTCAACAGCCCTGGGTCTGCTGTGGAATCCTTCAGGTTTCTGGGTTCCACTATATCCCAGGACCTGAAGTGGGAGCCCAACACTGACACTGTCATCAAGAAGGCCCAGCAGAGGATGTACTTCCTGAATCAGCTCAGGAAGCTCAACCTGCCTAAGGAGCTGCTGATCCAGTTCTACACAGCCATCATCCAGTCTGTCCTCTGCACCTCCATCACTGTCTGGTTTGGATCTGCCACCAAAAAGGACAGGAGCAGACTACAACGGACAGTCAGGACTGCAGAAAAAATAATCCGTGCCAACCTGCCCTCCATTCAGGACTTATACATTTCCAGAGTCAGGAAACGGGCAGGAAAGATCACTGCAGATCCATCTCACCCCGGACACAACCTGTTCCAGCTCCTCCCCTCTGGTAGGCGCTACAGAGCACTGTACGCCAAAACCAACAGACTCAGGAACAGTTTCTTCCCACAAGCCATCACTCTGATGAACAGCTGTCAGGAACAATTCCTGTGCAATAACTCAGTAACTCTGCTTCTAATCAGCCACCTCTTTACTGGTTTCCACTTATTATTTATTCATCATTCTCCATTTCTCCAGAGCTGTTCATACTGTTATATTGTCATATTGTTGATACTGTACATCAAATCCAATCCAAGTCATAACTCCTGCACAAACTACTTAATACTTATTTATTCCAGCATCCTTTGCACTCTGCTCACTGCACTATTTGTCAACATGTCTATATTGTTTCTGTTCATAGTGTGTATATTTGTGTGGTCTACACTGAAGTCTGTCTGACTTTATTTTATTTTTATTATTGTTGATTTTGTGTTTTTGTATATGAGTAAGCACATCATGAGCAACGTACAATCCTGAGTCAAATTCCTCGCATGTGTACAAATTACATTTTACTAAAATAATCCATACACCTAAAATTATGTAACTTGATAATTATAACATTTTACTAAATTAGTAAAGAACGTTAGTTAGCTTAGCATAATCATGTCTTATTTCTCAGTATAAACTGTATGAATACTGCTAACTCTGAAAAAACAATGTCTTTATGTATGCAGACAGATATATATATGCCTCTAACATCATTATTGACATTCTGCTAGCTTGTGATGCTATTTTGACTTCCTGTTTACATAATTGATTTGATTGCTTTTGATTGGACACATTTCCAAGCAGCAAGTGTCTAATTATGTAATAATACAGCAATTATTTTACATAGGAAAGCCTGATAACCAGTTACATGCTATTGTTATTTGCTAGACTGATATAGAAACATATGATAAAGCACAGGTGTTCCTAACCTTTCTGGCAGTCCAACCCCTTTCCGCCCCAGCAGATCACACAGAATGTGTTTTTAGCCTTTTTAAAATTGTATTCTATTGGCAGTGAGCGTTCTGCGCGCTGTTAATGTGCCCTGAGCGCCTCGCATTTTGGCCCATTGTCCAATCTAATGAAGGGAGAGACCTCAGTTGCGCTGATGGAAGTTTACAGTTGCTTGAATTGTCCGGAGACTGCAACAGTCTGTTCCTGACTCATCCTAAAATAAGACTTGAACCGACCATCATCGAGATGAAGCGCCTGGACCAACTGGTAGGCCACTACCTGCGGTGTCTCCCCTTTCTGAGGGTCTCATGTGCCCACACAGATCTCCCTTTCCCTTTCTCCTGCGTGTTTGTACACCTCATGCACTCAAAAGAATGCCAGAGCATGCACTCTCCGTTTGTCTCTTTTATTAAAGCAGATTTTTTAGCAACAAAAGAGCAGCACACGAAAGATAACAGATCGCTGCCGCTATAATCTTTGATAAGACTGACAGGACAGCTACTTTGGTGGTTGCCTAGAAACTTTCTGTCTGATCGTCTTTGGCATCACCGCCACCTACTGGTTTAAACAGTGCAAAATATTTACAGTGTCCACCCAAAGTGATTCCATTCACAACTGTAGTCCGTCTAGTTATTTGTAAGTTATTTTTTTCTATTTTTATGGACCAACCCCCAGGTTAAGAGCCACTGATATAGCATATACATATTTACAGTTTTGCGTTTGTTTGGAACCTAAACTCTTGCTCATAATAATAATGAAAATTTACTGCATTACGCATTTTTTAGCCTTAATATGTTCTGCTGTAACTATCCCTACACCTCCAAGTACACCTCCGATTGCAGCTCCCGCTGCAGCTCCAACTGGGATTCCAACTGCGCTCCCAACAAAGTGAGTTACTGCTCCTCCAAGACCTGCTCCAGCCAGAGCAGAGCCATTCACAGAGAGAGCGATTCTCTTCCGAAGTCCAGAACTTTCTCCTTCTTTCTCAGCCTCTTGGACGCTTTCGGCAGTGTGGAACTTTCCTCCATCTTCTTTAATCATGTCCTCCAGTAGCTCGGTGGCTTCAGGTAGTGTGTTATAGTTGTTCTCAATAACATGTGGTCCCCCTTTACATGTGCCGACAAAGTTTATTTTTCCTTCTTTCTCAGCCTCTTGGAGCATTTCATCAGTGTAGCACTTTCCTCCATTTTCTTTAACCATGTTGTTGATCTTCTCCAGTAGCTTGGTGGCTTCAGACTGTGTCTTATCTTTGTTGTCGATAACGTGTGGTCCCCCTTTACATGTGTCAACAAAGTGTTTGAGATCTTTGTTTTTTTCCATGAACTTTTTTATGGTTTTTCCCTTTTTCTTCAGTTGATCTCCATGGGTGAACAAAGCCATAGTGTAAGTTGCTGCCTTTTCACCAAAGGTCTTCTTGATAATCTCAACTGTGTCCTGGTCTTCTTTTGTAAATCTATCCAAATTCAGCACGAACAGGAACACATGAGGACCAGGAGCAGTTAATGAGACACATTTTTTAATCTCCTCAATCAACTCCTCCTTTGTTTTTCTTGGTTTACACAGACCTGGAGTGTCAACAACCACCACAGTTTGTCCTCCGATCTTTGCTTCTTTCTTCTGACACTTTTCTGTGTAACGGAGAACTTCTTCAGAGCTCATCAGGAGGGTTTTCATGACTGAGGTCTTCCCAACTCCAACCTTCCCAATGAGTGCAATCCTCAGCTCTGTTGGAAAATATCACACAAACATCAGTGGGGGAAGAAGGACTCTGACAATTTTTTATGCACTTAAGGAAGTAGTACCATTGTATACAAATACTCTGTCAGAAGTCAAGCAGTAATTGAACCTGAATTTTAGTATGTAGTCATTTTAATCCAAACCACAATATTTTCCTAATATTAATTGTATTTGTGCCTAAACCTAACCAAACTTCAACCACAGTGTCACATCATGAAAAATATGAATAATTTTGCACAGTTTAGGAAAACACAGGCAAATTTTGTCGTCCTGCTGAAATACAAGTCACAAGCTTGAGAGTTTATGTATTGGTCATTTTGACTATTTTTTGGTGTAGATAGAAAGTATTGCTCACATCTTTACATATATACATTTTCAATTGAAGCCCGAACGATAGATAGGTTCTAATAGTTTTGAAAATGGATTATTTCGTGATGTGCTTTTTTTGCATAAAATTCCTAGTTAGCAGTTAAAATTAAAGCTAATAGATCAGCTATTAAAAATACATTTTTATCAAAAAAGGGATTCAAATGTACAATCATGTGGAAGGAATATGGGGAAATGGCCAGATTTGATGTGATTGACTACAGGACGAAATAGTTTTGCATCTTAAGCCATCCACTTGCTCCATCAACAAGCTTAATTAAAAAAAACCTTTTACAGCAGATAGTCAATAGTTCTGTCATCTGATCATTTTCCCGAAGCAAAAATAATATTTAAAAAAACAGCAAACACGAGCTGTTATTGATTTAGAAACTGATTCTGGCGAGATTTCAGTTTTAGTCTTATTGGATGTGTGTGACCACATTGACCATAAAGTCGGGCTCACTGTGCCAAAAAAAAGTCCTAATTTTAGGACAAGATAAACAGGACAGGATTTGAGTGGACCAACATGATGTGTGGAGTTACCCAAGGCTCAATTCTTGGATCTCTTCTATTTTCCATTTAAATGCCACTGCCATAATTATGCAGACAACATCCACATTTACTGCATTTGCTCTGTAACCAAGTGAGTGCATAGATTCTCTCTACAAGTGAATTGAACAAATAAATTATCGGACAGGATCAAACCTTCATCAATCAAACCCAGCAAAAGGTAGACAGAATTGACATAACTGTCTCTGACGCAAAGAAAGGAAGGCAGAGAGTTATCGCTCCTCTTAACTAAACAGAAACCCAAGTCAAAAATGTTAGTGTCATCTTGGACTGAGTTAAACATTCAAATCAGTAACAAAGTTTGCATCGCACCATCTTTAAAACATAGCAAATACTGTGGGATTTATGTCCAGGCAGGAATTACCAATGCTTTTCTGAGATTTCTCTAATAGTCTTTTCTCAGGTCTCACCGAAAACTTCCAGGCATCTTCTGTACAGAAAGCTGCTAGTCAGACAAAGATTAAGAAAACTGGACACTTCTACGTTCACTTCACCGGATAACAGTATGTCCCGGAAAAGAGTTTAAAGGACTGCTGCTTGTCTCTAAATTTTCAAAGTTTTTTACCAAATTATATTTTATTTGTATTTTTGTTCTTGACTGTTTTTATTTCTGTTTTTTTTGCACTTTGAGTTGCCTTTGTTATGAAATGTGCTATACAAATAACTAGGTTTTTTGCTATGTCTTCTAAATTTTCTGTATTTTTTCAAAATGTCTTGATTTGACTAAAAAGCAAACACATAAGTATAATTTTATTTTAGCCAGCAAACATAAAGTTGAATAAGTTCTCAAATACCACATAATGCAGGTATGACAAACTTGTGACAGAGACAAGTGTTACATAACACACAGTGAGATCTACTTATGGCAAAAAAAAGCTGACAGATATCATGCATTGTGAATATAATTGAAGAACTGCTTTAAATTAGAGAAAATTACTGCTGTGCCATATATAAACCCAAGCACTATCCTGGGTATTAGTAATGTTAAAGAAATATACTTACGAGAAGGAAAAGTTTCTTCACTGGCCATCTTTGTTTTGTAAAGGCAACAGATCTGTGATGTCTTGTCACTGTAGATGTCTTGTTCTGACTATTTTAATTTCCATCCCATCATTATATATTATATCCTGCTTCTTGTTCCCTCCCCTGAAATACACATCACTTGTTCTTTGCCAAAATCTGACCAATCACAGTTCAGAAATAAAAATGTATCTGCAAGCAACCAATCAGGGGTTGAGTACTGTTTTCCACAGGTATTAAGAACTGTTTACCAGAGAAATCAGCAACATTCACACAATGACTTGCAATTTGGAGTATCATTATTCTTTAATGACTGAAAAATCCAACAGATGTAACATGTAGAAAGAAATACCAGAAAAAATTTATTTAATCTAATACAGAAGTATTGAAATAAAACCACCTTTGTAAAGCTTTTCTTTTTGGTCTGTTTTTTATTATTTTATTTAAATGCAAAAACACAATCAAAAATAGATACAGAAAATTACACCTACAATAAGTTAGGCAAACAAAACAATGATACAAACATATTTTCCTCCTAGAAGTCTGTTTTACATTATGCCATTATACGCTTTCATAATTTTACAATTTTATTACACTGGATTATAAAACACATATAACATGCAATTTCCAATGTTATAAACTTACACAAGTACTGCTTTTATAACATTTTTGGCGGGATATTTAAAAATGGATGTCGTCTTGTTTATTCAACTCTGGGTAATGGCCAAAAGAAATAGATTGTCCCTACATGTGATCTGTGAGTTTCCTGGCGAGGGTATTTGGGTTCAGCCTTTCAGAGAGACGTCAGAAATCCAGATGGAGCTCAGAGTAGAACTGCTGCTCCTCCTCAAAATTAGTTGTAGTTGAGGTGGTTTAACATCTGATTAGGATCCTCCTGGACACGTCCACCTGGGAGAAGAGCCCATGGTAGACCCAGAACACGTGGGAGAAATTGGGATCCCCCAGGAGGAGCAGAAGAACGCTGCTTAGGGTAAAGGACTACCCTGCTTATCCTGCTGTCCCCGCAACTCAGCCCCAGATAAGTGATGGAAAGTTAAGTATAACTTTTAATCGCTTATCTGGTGAGCATATATTTATCACAACGCTACATGATCACCTACAGTTTGGTCAGAGATTTGAGTTTCTAATGTAGCCTGGAACATCTAGCCTAACTACAGATTTTTTGCATGTAGTCTTCGGCCCCAACTGGTGCTGACACAGGCGACATCCCTTAATGACATTTATCAGACTTCACATAGTGAACACTAAAGGGTTCATACTACTTCTTTCACATATGCAGTTTAACAACCCAGCACCTGTAAACACAGGTTTGCTTTGTTTAGCTGCCTCTGGAACATCAGTGGTGACAGCGCACCTTCAAAGCATATGAACACATGACTGGTGCCAGCGCACCTTCAAAGCATATGAACACATGACTGGTGCCAGCGCACCTTCAAAGCATATGAACACATGACTGGTGCCAGCGCACCTTCAAAGCATATGAACACATGACTGCTGACAGCGCACCTTCAAAGCATATGAACACATGACTGCTGACAGCGCACCTTCAAAGCATATGAACACATGACTGCTGACAGCGCACCTTCAAAGCATATGAAGGTGGCAGCCTAATTATCCTCAAAAACTCATGAAACTTTAAAAACAGATTTTGTGAAAATTCGTGTGTCATATGGGTCTTGAATATGGGCATGCAAAATTGCTCCATAGTGCCTCCTACAACGTGGAAAACAAATAAGCCACTGCGCCATGTTCATACTAGATGAGGACGAACATGCCGCAGAACATAGATTGTTGCTTAATGGTGTGTCTGTGGCGTAGCAGCAACACGTTCAGGAATAATAACAACAGAGCTTAGCTCTGCAGCAGCGAAGGCAGGGAGAGCTCAAGGGCAATGGCAGAGCTTCTGATGCGGGCAGGGATTATGCTGCTCAACTCTGCAACAGTGACAACAGGGTACGCACGCAGGGAGTTTTATGTTTTATGTTAACTTCTAAGGAAGCGGTGAATATTTTGCAGCATCTCCATTCACTTAGGCTAAGTGAATGGTTAGCTCATTCACTAGTGCACGGGTTTTGCAGTTGGAGTGTTGTGGGTTTTATCCCCCTTGCGTAAATATATAATTTTTCCCTCTTCATCAAATTAACTATGAAGAGTTTTTCACATGTACACAGTAATGCATGTGCTGGAGTGTGTGCATTCTGTTGATTGAGCCACATCCACCACCAATTTCCTTAGCATCTCCAGGCAGAGGAACGTCCTGCTCTTCTCATTCAGGGAAATCACTTTTCCAGTCTTTTTTAGATGTACATGGTATTTTTGAGATTCTTCAATCCGTTTTTTTTTTTTTTTTCATTTCACAGCACTGAAACTCACTTTAAGACTTTTTAATGACCTCTAATTAACCACTGACTCTGGTAATTCTGCCATACTAGTGCTTTTAGACCTCACTGCTGCTTTTAGACAGTTGACCACACAGTTATTTTCTCTTATCTAGAGCACTGTGTTGGTGGGGACAAAAGGGAGACTGCTCTTCAGTGATTTAAGTCCTATATGTCCTATAAGATGCTTTTAAGAAAAGCTTGGGGACTTCATCAACTGCCCCCCTTCTTTGTGGTGTTCCACAGGGCTCAATTCTTGGACCACTTTTCACTATATCTCCTCCCTCTAGCAAATGTTACTAGAAAGCATGGTATCTTCTACCACTTCTATGCAGATGACTCCCATATTTATCTGCCCCTCAAAAGAAGTGAAAACAACTCCCTCATACCTCTATTAGCGTGTTTAAAAGATATTAAGACTTAAGATATTAAGAAATTAAGACGTCCCAAATCTGGGTGTAAAAATAGACAATGATTTTAAACTAGATAAACAGATAAATAATGTTCATAATAAAGCACTTTGAGCATGTGATTCATGCTTTTATCTGTTGTTGCCCTTCGATTGTTTCGGAACCATTTGTTTTTTATATGTTTTTTATGTTTTATTCCTTGTGCGGCACTTTGTAAACCTAGAGACAAGGGATAGGATTAAGCTTTCTAAGAAGTGTGTCAAGTACACCAAGTCTTTTGAATGTCTTTCAGAATTTTTCAAAGTAAAAGCACTGAAATCAATTTGAAATAAAGCATTGCTGCAAAAAACTTTCTCGGGCTTTTATTTTGTGGGCACAATCACTTAAGAGGAAGGGAATTTATGAGTAACTGTTGCTGGCATAATTGAGATCTATTTCAGCACCAGCCGCTATCAAAGTATTAATTTATTAATTTATTTAGCCAGCAGCCGCCTCTTGCCAACCACTGCTGTAGGTGAAACCAATGTGAGACGCACATTTTGAACAAAAAGCACACAGAGGCGTGCATAGACCCTGTGAACAGGCACTGCACTAGTTCAACTAATAGATCTAGTATAGGCTAGTGTGTGTGTGTGTGTGTGTGTGTGTGTGTGTGTGTGTGTGTGTGTGTGTGTGTGTGTGTGTGTGTGTGTGTGTGTGTGTGTTTCTGTGTTTCTGTGTTGTCGGATTGAACGACATGTTCATGACAAATAATGTTGTGCAACGTTGCGCAACAGGCTTTGAGGTATGTTATCTCCTGTTTGGTGGGTGTGTGCGGGTTGGCCGTCGAAGTGTCCTTGTGCATGATACTGAACCACGAATTGCCCCTGGCGGCTGTTCTGCCAGTTTATGAATGTGTGTGAATGTTAGTTTCTGTTAGAGCACTTAGGCTCAGTGTATGAATGTGTATGAATGGTGAATGCAGATGTAGTGTAAAAGCGCTTTGAGTGGTCGAAAAGACTAGAAAGGCGCTATACAAATACAGAGCATTTACATTCACTCTGTCCATTTGTTTTAGTTTTGTCTGGTGATTACAGCAAGAAAACTGCAGAGAAGTAAAATTGTGTTTTCCTGTCTGGTTGTTAGTGTTAATGTGGTGCTGATGATTAAACATGTTGAAAAAAGTAATGTTTGGTTGTTTACAAGCATAGTTGTTTAACTATAGAGAAGTACAATGTAGTGAAATGTAATTTAATGTCATAAATGGGGAATGAGTTTCACAATGAGGAGCATCATACAGATTAGACAGATATCACTTTATTCATATGATGCAAGAAACATCAAGGATGCACAGGGAATAAAAACACCTGATCAGTAACCCACCACACATGTTGAATGAAAATAAAATACGTATAAACGTTGACAAGGATTCAGGATAATACAAGTATAACACTTAAATAATAATGCCAGCCTTATTTAAGTGTTATCCAAAATATTAAAGGAAATTGATGGAAGCCTTTCATCACAATATGTATGCACAAAATAAGCATTTAATTTTTTTTACCTGCAGTTTACAACAGGATTTAATTACAGGTTAACAAATCTACTTACATACATCTCAAATGACTGAAAATTCTTTGCTCAGTTAACAGTTTTTCCTCAAACACAAAATTAATGTTGAAAGCTCCCGCCATAAACATTTCATCAGACAGACAGAGCACAGAAACGGTTTGAGGTGCTTTGATTTAAACATTTTACGCTATTATTTGATTTATGTTGCATGATTTCGTGTCAGACCCATTTAAGTTCAAAAACAAAAGCCCACTCCCACATACAACAACAATCATACATTGACTTCTCAAAGTGAAGCTTAACAGGAAGTTATAAAGACTGACAGAGATACTCAAGTATAAGAACTGTAACTTTGCAAAAACAAGTACTCAAGTCGAAGTGAAAGTGGTCATCAAAATAACAACATGAGTGACAGTACAAAAATATTTACTGAAAAAATTACTTGAGTAGCAAAAATAAAATACACTGGGTCTATTATTTGATGTAGATGTGACTTGAATTATTTATATTTATTATTTATATAGTAATTAAGTTACTGATGTTCTTCCTCAGGTAAAGATAAAGAAATAAACATACTCTTGTTATTTGTGATGAAATGACAAATCATTATCTCCTGATTAGATCACCTGATACATATACACCAGGACAACATTCCCAGTGTGTATCCATTAAGTGTGAGTATTTAAGTTTGCGTTTAAAAACATACATTCCATCTTGTTGTTGTCTATAATAAATAATGATTTGGCAAACAAATCAAATTAGGAGATGCTGTGATGTTTCATAATTCAATGTCTATTTAATACAGGTGTGTCTCTTCTTCACTTTTACCTGAGCAAGATCATCTGGGGTCAAAATATATCATTTTCATCCATGGAATAAAAGTAGTTAACTGTTATTATACATTTTTTGGTCTCTATTCATCAGGCTACAGCAACAAGCATGACAAGTAAAATGTAGACTGCTGGTATACTCTTAGCTTGTAAGAGTTTCATCTGTCAACCTTAGCTGCTGCAGTATGGCTTTCAAATACACCCTACTATGATGCTGTAGCTTCAGCCATTATAATGCTCTGAACAGAGGGATGTGGATGCATGACGAACCACTAGCAGTCCTGGGACCAGCTGACCACCTACCTCTTAACAGATCTACACAAGTTAATTAATAAGGAGCAATTTAGCACAGTGAATGTATCAAAATATAAAGTGTAAAAGTGTGATGCATTAAATCTCCTCTGATAAGTACAATTTACTTTTACTGCAAAGAGCTCTGTGCTTTACAATCTGACTTTTTGATAGATGTATAATTCTCGCATCTTTTAGGGGAAAATTAACTGTAAATAACTTTGGCAGCACCTTGTTTTTTAGCAGGTTTCCTTTTGGGATGCATACTGATCCAACAACCTTCTCCAATAAGAAGGAGTGGCCTGTGTGTAGCCTAAGAGGCGAAACGCTTGGTAATAAAAGCTTATTGCTTAGCAAGCATCGTATCTCATCGGGACTGTGGTGACTGGACAGTCAAGTGACAATGTTTAGAGATTTTGGTAGGAAAAAAATCAACCTGACGCCTTATGTAGCAGTATAACAAACTCACACTACTGTCACCTTTCCTGAAAAGAAAAAGATCACTATTCACACAACAGTCAATGCCCCAACTGTCCACAGATTACGAATATAGCATCTACACATTGTACACATTTTGAAAAGTGTATTGAACAGTGAAAAATAAACAATATATTTGCATCCTTTCACCACTATGATTTTCCCTGTGCTGTATGTGTTTCAGTACCTGTTTGATGAGCTCATTTTACTTAGCTTCAGCTGGCATGCATTCATATGCTATGTCTTGTATTTTGTTGAGGAAACATTTCACAGCTGGAAAGGAATCTAGAATGTATCCCTTCAATTTAGCCTGACCCTTGTTGATCAGGTCCTCCATATGCTTCCAAAATGACTGCTCGTTATTACCTTCCTGTACCTCATGGGGTTTATTATTTTCTTCTAAGGCATTCTCAGCCTTTTCATATATTTCGCCTCTGTAGTAGCCATTTTCCTGGACCATGTTCTTGATCTTCTGCACCAGGTCACTAACTTGACACTCATCCTCGACTTCGTTGTTAAGGACATGAAATGCATCATCACGCAGAACGATGACATTTCTGACATCTTCTTTTCTTTTAGCGAAATCTTGACATTGATGTTGAACCTTACAATTATCATCCTCACATTGATCTCCATGGCTGAACAAGACGATAGTATGACGTTCTGCGTCTTTGAAGATGTTCTTGAAGGTTTTCAGTGTATCTTCATCTTGCTGTGAGAAGGAATTTAGCTTTAGCACCAACAGGAACACATGAGGACCGGGCATAGTCATCATGATGCATTGTAAGATCTTTTTCATCACCTTCTTATGATCGTTGTCTGTGTGAAACAGACCTGGAGTATCAACAATAGCCAGTGTTTGTCCATCAAACTTTCTTTCCTTCATCTTACACTCTCTTGTTTCAGATGCAGAAGACAGTTCACTCGTAAACTCTTTCCTCCCAAGGATGGTGTTTCCTGACGCACTCAAACCAACTCCGGTCTTTCCCAGGAGCACGATCCTCAGCTTTGATTCCTCTGAAATGACATAATTGATTTTATAAAAAGTTAGATCAGCCATGACCATACACACATACATACAAACAAACACACACACACACACACACACACACACACCTAATAGTTTGAAATTGAAGTGCACAATGCAATGCCTATCAGTTATAGGAAATAAAATAGCTGCAAGTGGCAATTATCAGCATTCAAGCACAACATTTTATTTCTTTTTAAACATTTTTAGAGCAAAACAACTGATGCAGATGACAATAAGATATTGCTGGCAAGTAGGATTTTCCAGCACACCTTCTCACAACATGAGGCATTGAGATCACATGTGCCACATTGGGATATTTTTATCTGTTCAAACGTACGGAATATTTTCCTATTCTTTCCAGTTAAATAAAAATTGTGGATAAATACAAAAAATATAAATAGAATACTGGTAAAATGTCACAGGTGTATTTTAAAATATTACAGTAAAATTTTAAATAATGCCAGAAAGTTCAAGTTTCATGTTACCTACCTCTAATTATGTTAAACCTTTAAAGAATTGATATTCTGCTTTTTGGCTTTTCCCCTCTCCTTTATTGAGTTATATCCCTTTTTTGTGCATGTAACAGGTTTGCAAAGTGAAAAAGCCCAAAGTCCAGCTCAAAGGGAGTTCCCATCTCCCACAGAAAACTCTGCTCTGAACTGAAAACAGCTCGTATATAGTCCAGCTGCTTCCCTTTCATCCCTGTGACGTCACAGATTAAACCATTTAAACCTGTTCTGGTACAACCCCTAAATAGGATTTTGAACTTGAAAATGAGCAGAATACCACCTCTTTAAGTTTTACAAACTCTTTGAGTTTCAGGCCACTACAATGCAAGAAACACTAACAAGATGCTCAGGTAGCCATGGTTGAGTGGAGTCAGGTTGAATGCAGTCAAGTCAGGTCAAATTAAGTGGCATTGATTTGAGGCAAGTCAAGTGGAGTCAGATCGGGTGGAGTCAAGTTAGGTCAAGTAGTGTACTACTTACTAGTACTACTAGTGTATGGGTTTGTAGAATTGAACAGTCTCAGCAGTGCATTGTATGTGCATACAGTCCATGTTCACCTGCAGCGCTTCAGGTTAAATTTTTTCAGTCAGTACTGAGTTTGTAACACTGATTAAGGTTGGAATTAGGGCTGGGCACGTTACCACATTATTATCGTGTTAACGCATTAATTAATTAACACCGAAAGTTATCACACTGTTTTAGTTATTATTATTTTGAAAGTCAGTTGTTCACAGGCTCTGTATACACATACAGTCCAACCATGGGTCACAGGAGGGGTGGGAGGTTGATCAGCCTGCAAATCACCCACCCAAACAAGCAGTGGAGGATGTAGGCTTCGGCAGACTACATTGGATACAGAGTGTGGGAGAAGTAAGACAGCGCTCTATGGATAGGAACCACGGCAATGGCTTCTGTGCGCTACACAGCTGTAGCCTATTTAACTTAAGTTAAAATTACAGGCTACATAACTTGACCTGATAGGCCTTCATCTAGTTTTGCGGGGATACTCTGCCAAGCGAATTCCCTCCTTTGGATGTCCTATTCAGTAAACAGTAATAGATTCTGGAAACTCACAAACAGCGAGGATCAGTCTCTCTTCCAATGATTTGTGCTGTGCGTCGCATACAAAAAAGTTCAAGACACAAGCAAGCAAAACTGTGACAGTTTCACGGGAACACACCCACTTGCTGCTACGCCTTGTGCTCGACCGCTTCACCTTACTCTAACAGGGACACTTGCTACTGAACACATACTGTTTATGCTGCTCCCTGATAAAAGAAAAATGTTTCTGCTGATACCTGTTCAGAAAAAAAACAAAAAAACAGATTTATATATTATGTTGTTACAATCGTGGCTCTGGACTTGTTTTAACTTATTTTAACAAGCTAGATAAAAGGTAATTCCCTGGCAGTAGCAAATAGCTTTGGATTAATATTTGATTTTATTACATTAATGTTTAAATTGAGATTTACAAGAAATATTTTATTGCTTCTGTGTAAAGGGAATACGGCTTGTAAAAAAGCACCTTATTTGTTTAAAGTGTTTGCAAACCAAATGTTATAACACTTTTGTGTATATAGCAGTACATTTAAATTAAAATTGCGCGAATAATCGCGATTAAAATTTTATAATTGTTGCCCAGCACTAGTTGTAATGCTTCCACTTTTATTGCTGGCAGTGAATTTGTAACATATAAAAACCAAGTTGATGTAAGTGCAAGTGCCTATTTCCTGGAGGCAGAACATACTAATGCTGACATGGTACAAATCAAACCGGAAAAAGAATCAGTACAAAGGTAGTCAGCACTTGTTAGAAATTATCACCATTAAGTGTCTTTATTTTTCAGTACATTTTCTGAAGTGTAAGAAACATTACACCCTCAAAGGGGCAAAATTCTAGTTATTGTAGACTACCATTTAGTAATCTAAAAGCAGCTTGTTTATTTCATATTTTTCTGTATGCTGATGATACTGCTCTCTTTATGTCTCATAGTTGGACCTGTAGTTACACATTCTCTCTCAATCTGAAAACAGAATGTCTCTTAACCTTTGTAGAACTAAACCCATTCTCTTTAGAATTAAATACAAACTAGGAAAGGAACCTGGGTTTTTGTTAAGGTAGGGAAATCTTTCATTATTGCAAAAGTAGTGGAAACAATCTGGGATGTAAACTAGACAGACATCTCTCATGTGAGAATAACACTTAGATAAAAAGATAAGAATTGCATTTTTGGCCTCATGATTAAACATTCTAGTCCATTTGAAGAGCACTGATTGCAAGCCATGTTGATTATACTGCTACCACATGTTTTACTGATCCAAAAAAAATCAAATGTAAAGAACAAAAACCACAAACAACTGATGAAGGTGATTTTTAAAACTGCATACATAAACATCTTGTATACACAAAATTTGGTTACAAGTTGGTTTCAGCAGAAAAATGTTCAACTGTTGTTTGTACTCATGTGTTTAGCCATTTAATCTCAATAAAATGGCAGACAATCTGAACTGCCATTTATAAGTAAGTGTATGTTTGACTATGTTAGAAAGTATTTCATTAGATGTTTGCTTTTGCCTTTGACATTTTGTGATCAACATACTTATATTAATACCCATTAACTGGAAGATACAAAGTAGTTTTAGTTGTGTGTATCCTTGATTATAATTGCTTTAATTAATTATTTGTTTTGCAAAATTGTGTCTAAATAGTCAGTTCATTTAGTAAACCAAAAACCTAATAACCAATTAACATTAATCACAAATATAATTTATTTACAAACATGCTTAGAAAATGTAATTAAATATAACAATGCAAAAGTTATAAGTTAAGTAAGTTACATGTAATACAACAAATAAGGTCTGTTGAGACTTTACAGTCAAAAATTGCATAAGACTGAGTAGGTGGTCAGTAAAATAAATGTGAGGCTTAAATATGATGACTGAGAGGAGGAATCTTATAAAGATCATTGTAGGTAATTATCAGGTATAAGTTGTTGCTCTGCTTTATCAAACACTACCCTGAGTAAGAGTACTGTATATGAAATATACTTACCAGTCTGTTTGCTGTCTTCCATTGTTTTGTAAAAGCAGTTGATCTGTGATATCTTGTTGCTGTTGATGTCTTGTTGTTCAATAGTTTGTCCTTTCAGCTTTATATATTATAAAGTCTGTGTAGTTCCCTCCCCCTTCAACACATGTCAGCCGGGTTGAGGAAACCAATCACAGATCAGAAACCACAATGTAGCTGCAAGCAGCAAATCATTGGCCGAAAGAGCATCAAAGGAATTGCCTATTCTGTTGGAATTGACCACTAATTTACTACATATGAAATATTTTTATATTTATTTTTATGTTGAGGTTGTTTTTACCGTGGTTATATTGTGTATATATTGTTGTTTCATTTTAAGTAACTATTGATATGGTAGTTGTGCTATGACATTCAATTAGTTGTATGTGAAATCCAACCAGGTACTAGAGCGATTTAGATTTATTCTCAGAGAGGGAGATTTGTTTTCACAGCCAGTACAACAAAGAAACATACACTTATGGGCCTTTCAGACAGACCGCGACAACGGCCATATTTAGCATCCCAGTTAATACCACAGCTAACGTGAATTACGGAGGCACCTTACAACTCAAGCTAGCTAACTCCTCCCTCTCGTCCAGATATTGTTTAAACAAGATGCAGCAGCAGAGGGAGGAGGAGGACAGGAGAAAGGACTGATACTGACTGATATGAGTTCTTCTTTCTTTCTAACCTTCAGTCAGTATTTTGACATCAGAAATATTATTTATTTTGACATTTTAGATTTCCAGTGCGATACTGAGTTTATACAGTGCTGCTCTGGAAACTATCATGTTCATAATTTTATTCGTTCATAAAATGTAATTTGATGGTCACTATTTAGTAATGAAAAAGAACCAATTATAGAAAAACAAAGAACCATCTAAAAGGAGTGTCAGTAAGAGTGTATCAGTAAAATCCTTCATGATAATTTATCACTCCCAGTTGAGTTGATCTCCAAGTGTGTGGGGGACAAGTGAAAAAAAAACCTTAACAGCACACTGCAATCATAGTTTTCACTAATCAGATGTTTTGTCATGTGAGTTTTGAACATGCTTATTGCTTTTTAAAAACATCAACATGTCAGCGAGGCACTTTGGTTGGGGCTGTGGAATAGACAGCAACAGCGCCCACTGTGGCTCGTTTAGGTCCTGTAGTCAAACTGGTGGGGGTCCAGCTGTGGTCTGATGGCTGGCAGGATGATGTTCAGAAACAATTCTCCCAGGCATTTAATGACTATTGGACTGACTGGTTGTCAGAAATTGTGTCTGAAGGACAGTGTTTCTTGGGTACTGGTATGATGATGGATGTTTCCCAGAGGGTGAGTAAACATGGCGTCCTTAGGGTTACCAGATGATGGTGTGGAGGAAAGCGCTTCATGGCTTCAACAGTGATGGCAACTGGCCATTGCGCCTTGCCGGGTTTGCACCTGCCCAGCAGGTGTTGAACACCCTACAGTGTGAAGAGGGAATGTTCAGTATCATGAAGGAGGCTCCATTTTCCCATTCTGTATTTTGAGAGAATCTGGACTAAAGGTTTTACATTAGCCTTAGTTAGCCGCACTGGCATGAACAATACTAACACTATACTTGCTAACATGCTAACCACGATTAGCATCACATCTTTTACAAACTGCATAAATAACATTGGTAAAGTATTAGTAAATACAATACCAGATAGGCCAGGTTATGTGTTTTAGTTAAACCTATAGAGATGCCCTGTCCTTTGATCTGCCTTCTGTCTTCTATCATCTGATGGAAATATTCCTTCTAGAATCAGAAACGGTTTTATTGCCATGTAGGTTAACAAGGAATTTTCTTTTGTGACTTTTCTAAATATAAAGTAAAAAGTGATAAAGAATTTGTAAGATGGACCAACTCAATTACCCCTGGGGGTCCCCGGACCCCACTTTGAGAACCACTGATGTAGAGAGTGTGTAGCAGCTGTTTTAAAGGACTGATTATTGAGCAACATTATGGAGTCTCCTTCGAAGCTGCCAGTGTTGAAAATACATCTTTTCTAAAGTCATTTTTAAAAAGGATACAGCATCAAACTCTTGCGGATTGTCTTGCATTATAAGATTCTCCAGATCTAAGCTAAGAACACAAGTCATTCTAATTCATTAAATTTATTTATTTGCTTTATTATTTCATAGAGGGTCCCCTAACCTTGACCTCTACCTTCATCAATGGTATTATCCAAGAAGCTGACAGTTCTATTTAGGTCTACATCAAAAATAAATGAACACTACTCCCTTTTGTTGCCAGCGGTTTGTGATGTGTTATTTTGAGGGGACAGCAGGTTTACACTGTTATACAAGCTGAACACTCACTACTTTACATTGTAGCAAAGAGTCATTTCTTCAGTGTTCTCACATGAAAAGATTTTAATCAAATATTTCAATAATGTGAGGGGTGTACTCACTTTTGTGAGATACTGAGGATGTGTGATCCCTAAAAATGGCAAATGCACCACTAAATTTTTTTACATTTATGTCCTATAGTCAGCCCCGATTTCTTCAAGGTTTCTGTGTGGGTCAAAGAAAGTGCTTCTTGGCTCATTAAAAAGCTTCTGAAACCTACTCTTGAAACTGAAAAAGACATAGTCTCCAGCACTGCAGACTCCATTCATCTACAACCCCAATTCCAATGAAGTTGAGACGTTGTGTAAAACGTAAATAAAACCAATGCTGAATGCTGAAAAAAACACCTGTTTGGAAGATTCGAGAGATGAACAGGTTAATTGGAAACAGGTGAATGTCACGATTGGGTATAAAAGGAGCATCCCCGAAAGGCTCGGTCATTCACAAGCAAGGATGGGATGAGGTTCACCACTTTGTGAACAACGGCGTGAGTAAATAGCCCAACAGTTTAAGAACAACATTCCTCAATGTACGGTCATCTACGGTCCATAATATCATCAGAAGATTCAGATAATCTGGAGAAATCTTTGCACGTAAGCGACAAGGCCAAAAACAAACAATGAGAGCCTTTGATCTGTGCTGTGGTCTGACGAGTCCATGTGTCAAATAGTTTTTGGAAATTATGGACGTCGTGTCCTCCGGGCCAAAGAGGAAAAGGACCGTTCAGATTGTTATCAGCGCAAAGTTTAAAGCCAGCGTCTGTGATGGTATGGGGGTGTGTTAGTGCCCATGGCAGGGGGAACCTGCACATCTGTGAGGGCACCATTAATGCTGAAAGGTATGTACTGGTTTTGGAGCAACATACGCTGCCATCCAAGCAATATCTGTTTCAGGGACGTCCCTGTTTATTTCAGCGAGACAATGCCAAGCCACATCCTGCACGGGTTACAACAGCGTGGCTTCGTAGTAAAAGAGTGTGGGTACCAGACTCCCATTGAAAATGTGTGGTGTATTATGAACAACGGAGACCCCGGACTGTTGAGAAACTGAAGTTCTACATCAAGCAAGAATGGGAAAGAATTCCACCAACAAAGCTTCAACAATTAGTGTCCTCAGTTCCCAAACGCTTATTGAGTGTTGTTAAAAGGAAAGGTGATGTAACACAGCGGGAAACATGCACCTGTCCCAGCCCTTTAGGAACATGTTGCAGGCATCAAATTCAAAGAAAGTGAATATTTGCAGTTCAGTTTGAACATTAAATACCTTGTCTCTGTAGTGTATTAAATTGAATATAGGTTGAAAAGGATTTGCAAATCATTGTGTTCTGGTTTTACATTTATTTACGTCCCAACTTCATTGGAACTGGGGTTGTATCTACATTTTTTCACCTATCCAGAGCTATGCTGTTAATGCAGTAGGCTAAGCAAGGTAGACCCGATGTCCCACTCCCCAGCAATGTTTTCCATCCCCTCCTGGCAGTTCCCAAGCCAGATGAGATTTGTAATCTCTTCAGTGTGTTCCTCGTTGGAAATGCCTGGAAAACCTCCAAAGGAAGGGATGCATCCTGATTAGATCACTTAACACACCTCCCACAATTAAATAAGCAACGACAAGCCAATTACATTTGCAGAGCACAAGGAAGCTGTTGATGACATCCCATAAGGGGAAGCTGCTGGCCTTGATGGTTTCCTCCCAGAACTATGCAGGGTATTCAAAGACATTTTCACTTGATTTTGACATTTTTAAGAAGAGTTTTAAATGTACAAGAATTCCTTCAAGGTTACCAAGCATACCTTCAGGCAGTAGCGGTGACAACACTAACACAGAAACCATACTTTGTGAGGTAGTTCCAGGGATCCAGCAATGTCCTGCACTCCCATTGGCTGTACGGGCAGTAGATCAATTCAGTTTTAGTTAGCATCACTTCCTAACATAAGTAACCTCAGTGCACCTTTCATATATAGCACGCCTAGACCATACTCTCTGTAATATAACTTACAGAGACTCAACCATTCCCAATAGTTAGATTTGTAGTTCGTTCAAGCACACTAAACTTTATTTGTTTTGACTTTAACTCCCACAATGGTACGTTCCCCCCTATTTCCACCACCGGTATTAACCCTGAAGAACCTACTTAATATAGACAAATTTGTTTGCAATGTGTAGAAAATAAAATGTTAATCTCAGCATTCCTACAATTTAAGGTGCTTATTGGGGGTCATTCAAAATTCTACAAAAAACTTCTAGATCCTATTCTGGGCTCTTTAGACACAGAAATAGCAATTGACCAAATAGAAAGAAATTTTCAATGTTCAAAGTGTTGTATTGTTGTCACCCTGGCTCACTCTTACCCCTAAAATCCACTGACTCCCGCACGTTGCTGCCAGAGCTAATCGCGGCCATTATAGGCAATGATCATTAGTCCACCAGATACATCCACAGCATGTCCCAGAAGCGGCTCTCTGCTCCGCATTGTGCCGTTCGAGAGCAATCCCGAACAGTCGGCCCATTTCAGGCCGAACCGGCCCGGGGTCAGGAGGTTTTATTTTTCAGTTTCTGTTTTACTTTATGATCCATGACCACGCAGGTGTCACACTGGCTGGCCAGTCTGCTGCAGCGAACACTGTCTGAGTCTGACTGGGCCAAACCAATACTTTCAATATGGAGTGGGTGTACGAGCGGCCCCTCCTAACTTGGACCAATCTTTGTTT